CCATCCCAGGCCAGGTAGCTTCATAGTCGATGCACGAAGACAAAAAGAGAATTTTGGAGCCTTTGGTATCTCCATCGTGCCTTTAATGCTGAATCGGGGCACAGACCAGCGGGCAGGGAGGCAGCATCCAGGGGAGCCCCCTAGCCTCAGAGTAACACTGCCAGAGCTAAGACTTTATCCCCCCTTCTCGGCCCAGGTGCCCGTGTTTACATGAGCACACACCGCGCGTTATCTGGGCCCAGGTGTCCATAATCAAGGTGCGCGTGCCCCGTGCCCATGCAACTCGGCCCCAGGTGGCCGCGCGTGCCCTGTGCTCACGCTCCCAAGTGCTTTTACATGAACACATCCCGTGCGGGCAGTGCAACCTGGGAGGGACGCAAGGCTGCAGGTGCCGGCCCTAGAGTCTATCAGCAAGAAGGCAGAAAAAAAGCCCGATTTACTCCATTATCTATACAGATGTCCACATATTTGTCCCACAGAAGAGATTCAGCTAAGGGGGCTGAGGGAGGAGCCAGACTTGCCCGACATCACACAGCCTAGCTGTGCCAAAGCCATGCCCAGAATGCAGGTCTTTTTTGCTTGCTCCAGGCTCAGTGATTCCTACTGTGCCCCCCAAAATGGTCACCAAGACCAGGAGGTGGAAGAGAGGAGAGAAAGCGGGTGAGCACAGACACATGAAGTGTAGAGAGAGGGGTGCCTGTCTGGGGATGGGGAGCGGAGGGTGGTTGAGTCCTGGGTTCCAGTCTCACGTACCAGGCATGTGGGCTGAGCGGCTGGTCAGCCTCCCCGAGGCTCGTCACCTGCTCTGCCTCCCAGGGTGACAGGAAAGAGCAGGCCTGGGAAGGTGCCTTGAGAAACTAAGCCCATCCAGGGGTGCTGAGAGCTTGCATCATGCTCACTCTTCACTGTCTCCCCCGTTCTCTCTGTCTCCCCCACCCCAGCCCAGGGTGCTCTCCGAACCTGTCCAGCAGGCAGCATCAGCAACAGCTACATCTCGACCTGCTTTCTGAATTATTCAGCCCTCCTGTCCCCAACCCACGCCCAGCCCTGCCCAAATAGGCCGCCTTTAAATAGGCCTGGGGAAGACATGTCTCCTCCCGGTCACAGCCTCTCTCCGCAGCGGGGAGCCCAGCGTGGTGGAGAAGGCTCATCGCCACTGGCGGTTTGCCCTCCACTGTGGCTTGTGATGGAGTCGGCCTGGGTCCCAATTCTCGGGAACAGGCCGCCTTGAGCCTCACCCTGGGCTCCGTCCTCCGCAGGGTTGGTCCATCTATCTCTGCTGAGCACTTGCTGAATATTTAATGTCCTTCATCCAGCAAGACAGGCCAGTGCAGGAGCTGGGAGGCTGGCTGGGAGCTCGCTTTGCCTCAGGCTGGCGCACAGCTCACCCAGGGCAGCCAGCGGTGGCGTGTCCCACTGCCCAGGAGGATTAGCTTCAGGTGGTCTTCGCTGCGCCTGGAGAAACTTGTGTGTGGACTGTCGGGAAGCCTGGGTGTGGGTGCCGCAGGGGGCAGGCCAGGGTGGAGTGGGAGAAGCAGGGGGGCTGGTGAGGAGGGGGGACACCAGAGAAGGAGGCCTTCTGAGTGGGGAGCTCAGGCCAGCCAAGTGGGCCTGCGTCTCTGCATCTTACACATTTGTGGGTCCTGCAACCTGGACAAGCCAAGGGTCCCATCGACCTTACTCTACTTCCTGTCCTGTAGAAAACCAGTGCTTCCTGCAATCAGCAGTAGTTTTGCTCTTTGAGGGGTTCCCAACCCTCCTGGCCCCTCAGTTTCCTGCCTGTGGCCCAGGCCCTGCACCCTAAGTGGGGTGCAGCCTCAGTCTGCACCACTGGCATGCCCTGTGCCCCTGTGACCATGCCGAGCCTTCCTCTCATGTCCTCTCCTGAGGCCGGACCTGACCCTGAAGCTGGCAGCCACCTGGCACCCCGCCTTTCTCACACCCTCAGCCTAGGTGTTCTGCACATGACTCAAATCTCTCTTGAAGCAGGTTCAACCTGGACCCTTTTCCTTTCCTCCACAGGGAAACCGGGAGGCTTCTCACATGGAAATGAGGCTCCCCTCCTCCCTCTGAGGCCAGGGATCAGATGACCTGCCCAAGCTCAAGGACTTTGCACGGCTGGGGGTCCGGATCCCAGCCACCCACTGACTCCACCCAGAAGCAAACAGAGCCCTCACCCTTGCAAGGCGCATCCTGCTTCCCCATGACCCCCACATCCATTATTGAACTCCGGGAAATCTCTGGGGATCCCTAGGCAGGGCATAGGGGAGAGCCCTGGAGAGGCACACCGAGCTCCATCTTCAGTTCTGCCCTCTGGTCTCCTGCCTGAGGCCCTCTGAAACCCCAGGGCTCACTTGCAAATCCAGAGGGTGGCGTCCATCTTTCAGGCTGCAGAAGTCGGAAACTCCATCTGCCCCACGAGAAAGCCTAGACGCCCAGGCTTCAGGACAGCTTGTCGGGGCCCCAGGCCTGCTGGCTCGGGGCTCAGTCTCCCACACCAAGGGGCTGACCCTCACCCACAGCCCAGACTCCGAGCCCTGTGTGGAGGGGGCTCAGGAGGACTCCTTCCTGCATCCCAGAGCCTCTCCCCACCTCTGCCCAGTGAACTCTGACCTTCCTAACAAGCACACAGCAGAAGGAACTTCCTCTCAGAGCAGGGCTTAGGGGAGCCTGACACCCCCAAGTTCTTTGGGGGCGCTCCCTGCGTGTGTGACTACCTTTATTTCTGTCTCCCCAATCAGTCTGTCACCCCAGGCAGAACAAGCCAGTGGTAGTGGTGCTGGGGGTCGAGCGAGCAAGGGTTTCCCTGAGTCCTGTTGGGAGGGCTGGGCGATGTTTCCAGTGACCGTGGCCTCAGTAAAGGGCTTGGGCCGGGGTCCAAGAAGCATGTGGGCCCCTCCGCTAGGATGCAGTCACCAGGGTGGGTGCACTGGCCCATCAGGCAGGGGTAGGTGGCAGACACGACGGGACACCGCCATCTAGGGGCACCCGGAGCCAGAGCAACAACGGAGGAAGGGACGAAGCGTGTCCACTGTCTTTCCGAGCATCTCCCCTCCCTTCCACACATTTGTGCAGACTTATTTTTGCAAGGTCAGCAGAGGCTGACCAGCAGAAGCCAGAGGAAGCAAGTTCTGAGAGGTTAGCTGATAGGTTCTGACAGGTTATCCAGCCGCTGTTACGGGGCACATGAGCAAAAGCCAGAAAAGACGACCAGCAGGAATAAGCTCAGAGTGTCGGCCCCTCCAAATCCCCCACGGGGCACAGGCAGCCCTGCCCCCCATGAACTTGTGACCCGTGAGGACCAGGAGCAAACATGTCAGGCAATAGGAACCCACACCTCTCCCTTCCCCGACCAGACCCCCCCACCCTCGATTTCCCGCTCTCCTTGAAAACAACGAGTCACTTAACCTCGGGCAGGGTGGTGGATTTGAGCTGGGTCTCCCCCTCGATTTTGCGCTATTGGTCCCACAAAATAAAACCTTTTCCCTCTCCTAAAAGCCCTTCGCTGGTGGCGGGCACCGGGCCAGTTAGGGTCCTGCCAACATCTCGATGCAACTGCTGGAAAGTCTCGGAGCCAGAAGACTTTCCACAGTTTAGCTGCTTCTGTGTCCCTGACCTCGGGAAATGCGCGAGATAATAAACCTTTGCTATTTTAAGCTGCTACACTTTGGGGATAGTTACCCGGGATTAGATAATGGATGCATGCCCTTTGAGAGGCGTAGGACACTGAGAAAATATTCGGAGGTTAAAAAGGAGAGAGTCTGGATTGGCTGCAGGAGCGGGGCTCATGTGCAGGGGCAGGGGCAGGGTCCTGGCCTGGGATGCCAACTTGGGGGGAGCCGGAGGAGGAGGAGGCAGAGAGGGGTGAAGGTACTGTCCGTCCACACGCTGGCTCCCGTCTGGGTTTGCTGTGTGGTCCAGTCTTGCAGAAGGTCAGTGTGAGGTCCCTTGTGTTTTGAACCTACCTTGCTGAAATTATTAAAAAATTGGTCTTTCTTATCAATAATGACCATGTGCAGGATGTGGGGGCAGCTAAATGGTGTTATTGAGCCCTTATCAATATGAGCACATGGTCACTGACACCACAGCCATGACAGCAATGTCCATCATGACCATTTTTAACTTGAAATACCAACATCCAACTCTCTAGAGTGCTGGGTCTGGACAAGGCTGCCCTGCTATCTAAAGAGCTCTGGGAAAATCTTGAGACACTAGTTTCTGCCGCAACAAGGAGACTCCATTCTGGCAGTGGTGCTAAAGCTGCAGTTGTCTCAGGAAGGTCTGGAGGCATTTGCTCCCACCAGACAGCAAGGGGCAGTGTCTCAGGAAGCTAAGGGACACCTGATTCCTGAGGCTACTCTCTGCAGGCAGAGGCTCTAGCTGTGAAGCATTCCTTGGAAGGAGCAACCTAGGGAATAGCCCAACCCTGACACCTTTGTCCTCTGGCATCCAGCTCAGTCACAAGGGACTTTCACTTGACCTTGGCACCGAGTGTCCTGACAACCCACCGGTGGAAAGGTACATCCCAACTAAACTCAACCTTATTGCTGTCATCCGTTGCCAGCCTGGACCAATAATGTAATTCATGCGTCATTGCTAGGATGAAGGCCCAGTTAAGGGGCTATTCGTGAACACTGGCTTATTAAGAGCAGCGTCAGAAAAAAACATACCATCACACTATCACAAAAGACACGGTGGCATTGGCCAAGGAGGATGTCTACCTGCCACATACTCATCCTACAGGTGCTGGCACTTGCCATGTGCACTCCTGGGCGCAGTTGTAGGCATGCAGGATTCATTATGGAGCAAAACATATGGCAAATGTTCAAGATCCCATGAGGCCAATGGCTCAGTCCCACAGGAGGCCCTTACTTCCAGGCACAAGGCCCTGCTGGCCACCTGCACTCATTTGAACCAGCTCTAAATTAGGAGTTCTCATCAATCCTTCCTCAGGTCCGAAAATTTGTTAGAATGCATCACAGAACGCCAGGAAACACTGATTATGAGTGATTTATTATAAAGGATACAAGTTAGCAACAGCCAGATGGAAGAGATAGTAGGATGTGGGGGCAAGGTTTGCGGTGAGCAACAGGGAGACTCCAGGCCTCTAGGCCTACCACATCCCAGCACTTTGGGTATTCACCAACCAGGAGGTTCTTTGAACCCCACTGTTCAGGGGTTTTTATAGAGGCCTCACTCATAGACATGACTGATTAAATCACTGGTTGTTTTAATGTGATTAAAACTGATTCAACTCCTGGCCCCTGGCTCCTCCCTGTAGATCAGGGTATGGGGCCAAAGTTTCCATTTTCTAATCCTGCTTAGGTCTTTATGGAGACCAGCCCTCATGTATTAAAGTCCCAGATACTGGGCAGCTAATTAGCATGTAATATAAAAGACACTCATCACTTCAGAGATTCCAAGGGTTCTGGAATTTGTGTCAGGACTAGAGATAAAGTTCCAATATATTTTTCTCATTTTGCCAGTCACATACTATGTGACTCCATTTGTTCTATTCTGGAAATGGCAAAAGAACAGAAATCAGATCAGTGGCTCCAAGGGCTATAAGCAAGGGTACTGAGGGACAACAGAGGGCAGGGGGGGAATTATTTTGGCCATTAGAAATGCTTTATATTGGGATGGCAGTTATTTGATTAAATACCTCAAAACTCATCAAACTTGATTCTGATAAAAGGGCTATATGAAAAGTACACCTTAATAAGTGTGACTTCAAATAAAAGCTATTTCCTTCATTCATCTTTTGCAAATGCCCTGTCCCCAGAGGATACAAACTGTACTGGAAGGGAATGAAATAAAAATTCCGTCAACAAACACCTGGCATGACTTCTGCACGAATGTCCACTCTCTGTGGTGAGCACCAGTAGCAGAACATGGCTTAGTAGAATATTTCAGGTATCATTGGCCCAAAGCCCCTCTGTTTATCCATGATTTCAGACTGGGAGTTTCTCCTCTTCGGGGTCTCCTGTTGTGGGGCTTTTCTGTTCTCTGGGTCCCGCTGTTGTAGTAATTTCTTTTGGCTCCTGTTCTTTACTGTCCTTTTTCCACTGCTTCTCTGCTTCCCGTTCTTTTGCCAGAAGCCGATAATTGATGCCCATGCTAATGAAGAAATAAATACCCGCGATGGTAAGGATTATGCCACATGCCCAGTAGGTGTACTTGTAGTCTCCATACACATCATTGAGACGACCTAAAGGGGTCAAAAAAAAAAAAAAAAAAAGTTGTGTGCGTAAACGTGATCAAGTGTACTCTTTCCAAAATAAAGTTTAAGGATCCACGTGAAAGATGTCAAGGTAATCCTCAAAGAGACTACAAATGGCATTAGTCTAAAAAGGAACTGATAAAAATAATCTGGACCTTTTTATTTGTAGTGTCATACAGATGTTGAATGGCCTTGCTGAAAATAGGGTGTTAGAACAGTTAGTGGGGTCAGGAAGGCTTCTCTGCAAGGGTAAACTAAGAGACTTACAACAGATGTTGTCTAGGAGAAAGGGGGTGGGGAAGGAATCCAGGCAGAGAACAGTGAGACAAAGCAGGGATAGGAAGCTCTGCCACTGAGAGGGGAAGGGAGGAGGGTCCTGTTGCTGGAGCAGAGAGAGAAAAAGACAAGGGGTAGGAATCCAGCAGGAGAGATGGGGGAGGGCGAGGTGGGGCTGGGCCTGGAGGCCTGTAGCCACTTAGGGTATCTGAGCTTCGGCTTAATGAGGAAAGCATGTGGAGAGTTCCAAAACTCAAGAATAGCCAGAGTGGATACAGGTGACCCAGTGAGAAGGTGAGTTAGGATCTGCCAGAGAGTGGAGGGGACTGTGGACAGGGCGGGACTTGTGCTGGGGGAAAGTGGGCAGATTAGAGAGAAAGAGGTTTAGGAGGTGAAAACTAGCAGGACTTGGAATCTCACTGGGCATAGGGAGGCGAGAGGGTGGGGAGTTTTCAAAAGTCAGTACGTCTTTTAAGTCTCCTTCCTTACCACATGATGCCCCAACTTAAAAAGCACGAGTCATATCCAGAGGAAGCCCAAATTATTTTACATAATAAACACGTTAAAAGAGAAGTGATTTGGTATTCTCAGAGAAGAACCCATCAGGTCTGATGGTCTCTTATTAGCTGTGTGATCTTGGGCAAGTACTTTCACTTTTATAGAAGCTTCTGTTTCTTCATTTGGAAAGTGAGGATGGTAACAGTTCTACCTCATAGACTTGTGAGCTATGACTGGATCTCTAAAATCACTAGGATGGTGCCTGGTAGCTACTGTAGTTATTTAAACTTTATTACTAAGATAGATGCCACAATTAAAATCACCAACAGTACCTTAAAAATGGAATGATATTGGGGCCTCCCCTGGTGGCACAGTGGTTGAGCGCTGGGCTGCAAAGTTGCCCGCAGCCTCTGCAGCACCAGTTCGATCCCCGGCCACAGTCAAGAGTCCCACATGGCGCGCAGACCTCTCCTGCTACCCGCTGCTCCCCTCAGCAGTGTATTTTATCAGTCTACCTGTTCTGTTCCCCGCTCTGGCTCTGGTGAATTCTCTCACCCTCCCGCGCTTCTGACTGTACCCAGTGCTTGTATAAATAAATAAATAAATCTTTAAAAAAAAAAAGGAATGCTATTATACACTTTTAAACAATAAACACATTAGTTTCATGATTAGGACATTTTATTTCCATACTTAAACTGTAATAGCTTTTCATTCCCCTTTCAACTTGATGCTTCATTTTAATTTAATTCTTTAAGCATCTGGGCAATCATTGTGCTCCAAGTCAGCACTGAGGGCACAGAAAAAGGAAGACTTCTCCCTGCCATCAAGCAGCTTGCTGATCTCTACTTCTGCCACCTTTTTTTAAAAAAAAATTATTTATTTATGCATACAAGAACTGGGGTATAGGCCCACCAGAGGACCCACCAGAGACAGAGTGGGGAGCAGAACAGGCGGATCCACTGAAATACACTGCTGAGGGAGCAGCAGGTGAAACAGGAGAGGTCTGCTGTGCCATGTGGGTCACCTTCCTGGCTGGGGATAGAACTTGTGCTGCTGTGGCTGCAGAATGCCTCATAGTGCTGAGACTTAACCCCTTGCACTACCAAGGAGGCTCTTCTGCCACCTTCTTAATCTTCTACTCTAACCTTCTACTTTAAACAGAACCACAGAAGTAAGGACACATACTGTACCTAAAACCGGTGGTCCCAGGAGGATAGGACAGCATTCCACAATGGTCACCAACCCCACGGCGCTGGGGAACCTCTGAGGTCCAACAAGGTCCATCAGTGTTTCGAACAATACCGAGCTAAACCATCCAAAGGCAAACCCAAGGAATCCGGCATAGACACAGAACTCAGCATAGCTAGAGGACAAAGGTGCTAGCATATGACACACTCCAATTGCAATACAGGAAGCAGCAAAGAAGTACTGAACTCGAGGTCTTACCCACTTTGTGTTGGCTACAAGTCCCAAAGAAGGTCTGGCTACCATGTCAACACAGGACAGGATAGAAAGAAGGAAGGCAGCCTTCTCACTAGGGAAATGTTGACTCTTGGCATAATTGCTAAGGAAGACCAAAGGTGTGCCCAGTCCAAAAGCCATGATCACACTCCCACAGAGGTAGAGTAGAAAGCCTCTGTGCGTGAACAGGGTTAAGTCCAGGAATTTGTTAACTTTTTGAAAAACTGATTGTTTCTCTTCTTTGAGTATTCTTCCATTGCATTCTGTATTTGCATCACCTGACTCTTTTTTTGCATCAGATTTTCCAGCTTCCAAAAGGGACTGTTTAGACTTCTCTTTCCCTGCGCTGCCTGGTGGGGGCCCTATTGGTCGCATCAACGATCCAGCTACACAGCAGTTTAGTAGTAAGCCCCCAAGGATGAGGAAGCTTCCTCTCCAGCCAAAGACATTAAAGAGAACCTGATTGAGGGGGGCCAGGGTAGAGAGGAACACAGGGCTGCCTGCCATAGCCAGTCCATTTGCCAGTGGTCGTCTTTTGTAGAAATACTTGCCAATCATGGTCAGAGCAGGATTCAAGTTGAAGGCAAGCCCAAGGCCTGGGAAGGAGAAAGAAAAATAATCATGTACTATAGTATATGTGAGAAACATACTTATTATTAATTAATCTGAGAAACTAAATGGAAAGAACACCAACTCATCATTATGAAAAACATTATATCATTAATGAACTGTTATTATGAAAATTCACAGTTCCTTTATGCAGTAAATAGCAAGCTATAACATTAAAATAATAATTCTTAGTTCAGCAACAAAAAGAACAATAAATGTAGCATTCTTTAATTTCATAACTTTAGCTTTTGTGAGGATTAGGGATTAAAAACAAAAAGGAGAAAGGGTAAATTTTATAAATTCATAAAGTAAGATGAATACGCAGTAGAGGACATAGGGAACAAAAAAGAGAAAGGGCATGAGGAGGGAGGAGAGAAAATATTATTGGGCGGTAAAAAACACATTATCGGGGCCTCTGGGGTCGCACAGGCGGTTGAGTGCTGCACTGCGAAGCTATCCGCAGCCTCTGCAGCGCCGGTTCAATCCCGGCAGGCCATTGAGAATCCCACATGATGCAGCAGACCTCTCCTGTCTCGCTCGCTGCTCCCCTCAGCAGTGTATTTCAGTGGATCTGCCTGTTCTATTCCCCGCTCTGTCTCTGGTGAATCCTTTCACCCTCCCGTGCATCTGGCCTATACCCAGGTTCTTGTATAAATAAAAAAATCTTTTAAAAGAAAAAAAACACATTATTAAGATGCTAACACTACTTCAGTTAGCTCATTAATTCAATGCAATTTCTACAAAAATCTTAGGTATTTTGTTTTTTAAATATGGTAAAATGACTCTACACCTGGAGACAAATGCATTAGAAATATTTGAAAAGGATAAATGATTGGTCGGTCCAGTCCTAACAGATATATGAATACATTATATAGCTACAATAATTAGAACAGTATGGTACTTATTCAAAATTAGAAATACTGATCAAACAAAGTGAGCAAAAAAGTCCAGAATCATAACTAAAAGACATTTAAACTAATAAGGAAATAGTGAATTTTTCAATTAATGGAGTAGGGACGGATCATCAGCTCACTAAGCTACTCAGTATTCTCCCATTCTTGCTCCCCTATGAGGTAAACCTCATGAGGATGGCCTCTCATTTCAATCTCTCCAATGACTGCCCATTTGTTCCCTTTATTGCTTGAAAATACATCTGGCTTCTCTACCAGAAAACCGCTGCTTTGTACCTGACATTCTTAATTTGAGCTTATTGAGTGACTGCATTTCTTCTTGGGTGGAAAGGGTCATGAGTGTGAGTACCAATGATCTCTCAACAGTTTGTCACACTCCTTTTACATATCACTGTATCTTTCTTTTTTAAAATTTTTTCTTTTTCTTTTTTTTAAAGATTTACTTATTTATTTATGCAAGCACTGGGTACAGTCAGAAGCGCGGGAGGGTGAGAGAATTCACCAGAGCCAGAGCGGGGAACAGAACAGGCAGACTGATGAAATACACTGCTGAGGGGAGCAGAGGGCACAGCAGGAGAGGTCTGCGTGCTCTGTGGGACCCTTGCCAGAGGCCTGGGATTGAACCGGCGCTGCAGAGGCTGTGGGCAGCTTCACAGGCCAGCACTCAACCACTGTGCCACCAGGGGAGGCCCTCTTTCTTTTTTTTTAAAAGACTTATTTATTTATGCATACAAGAACTGGGGTACAGGCCAGAGATGTGTGAGGCGAGAGGATTCACCTGAGACAGTGGGGAATAGAACAGGCAGACAGAAGTACACTGCTGAGGGGAGTAGCAGGCGAGTCAGGAGAGGTCTGCTGCACCATGTGGGTTGCTCCCTGGCTGGCCGGGGATTGAACTCGTGCTGCAGAGGCTATGGATTACTCCATAGTGCACTGCTTAACCCCTTGGGAGGCCCTCACTGTATCTTTCTTAAGACAAAAAAAAAAAAAAAAAAAAAAAAAGATTGAAAAAAGAAGAGAAACTCTCCACTCATTCATCCAATAAAAAACCCCCAAAACATCAAATACCACCTCTAGGTATATATCTAAAGATTAATAAAAGGTGTATGTGCTCCTATGTTCCCTGCAGCATTATTCACAATAGCCACAGCATAGATCCAAATGCCCACCGAGAGACAACTGGATAAAGACATTATGGAATACATGCTCGATTGTTGAGACAATTACTGAATGCTTCCCCTCATTTGTGCAACAGAAATAACTAAAGAAAACAAACTGACAAAAGAACAAAAACACTTCTTAAACTCTGAAAAATATACTGGCTACCAGAGAGGACAGGGTGGGGGGAGTAAAGAAGAGAGGGTAGAGGAGGGAAGTTGACAGAGTGTGGTCCTGGGGATTTGGTGAAGGATGAATCATGTGCACGCATGGAGGTATGAAGTTGTACTCCCCAAATTATACAACTGGGGAAACGAATGGCAAATCAATAAAATTTGAGAGGAAAAAGGAAAAAAGTAACACCTATGAAGTACCAGAACTTGCTTTAAATACTTGCTTTTCTGGTACTATTAAATTAACATACCTGTCACTCTTTAAAATGGCAGTGTCATACCTTTTCTTTTTTTTTTTTAAGATTTATTTATTTATTATTTATTTTATGTATTTATACAAGCACTGGGTAGAGTCAGAAGCATGGGAGGGTGAGAGAATTCACCAGAGCCAGAGTGGGGAGCAGAGCAGGCAGAAGGACCAAAGTACACTGCTGAGGGGAGCAGCGGGCGGCAGGAGAGGTCTGCGCGCCATGTGGGACCCTCCTTCGGTGGCCGGGGAGCAGCCGGGGATCGAACCAGCCTTGCAACCCAGCGCTCAACCGCTGTGCCACCGGGAGGCCCAGTGTCATACCTTTTCTAACAATGATGTTTCACTTCACAAAAGAACTGGTGGATGATAGAAAAAAATTCAATGCTTGAAAATACATCTGTCACAACTCACCTCCAATGAGTCCAATGCATACGTAAAGTCCCTGCACGGTGTTACTGAAAGATGCTGCAATCAAGCCACAGCCTGCCAAGCAGCCGCCAGCCATCATGACGGGGCGACTGCCATATTTATTCACCAGAACACTGCTGATGGGACCTAGAACATAACCCACAACAGAGTGATCCTGAGGAAAAGCTCAGCCCTCACACCAATGTCCCAAGGCACATCTACATGGCATTAATGACATGAAAGGCTGCCAACACATAAATCCCCCATCCTGCAAGATGAACAGGCACAACAGAAGGCAGAAGAAGACACTTTCTATCTTTATTTCCGTGCCACAGGTTTGTGTAATGGGAAAAACACAGCATTGATTGTACAATTTCTATAGACCTAGAATACACTGGATGGCTTTAAAGCATGAAAAACCTTAACCTCTTTTAAGGCAGAATACATTACAAATACACTGGCTTTAAGGAAACTTCATATATCGAGGATATAAGCAACATATATGTATGGTTATCTGGAGTAAACACACAAATATGACATTATGTGCAAATCCCATCAAATGCCAGAAAACATTTACAAACTAGCTAAACAATGATAAAATTACGAAACACAAGTATCCATACCATAATCACTTTTCTTCAACACTATACAGGTGGTCCAAGCCCGCTCAGTAAGATAGGGAGGAAGTATAACTATCAGTATTTATAGGAGATACATTTGCCTATCTAAAAATTTTAGGAAAAAATCTACCAATAAACTATTGGAAAGAACGATAGGTTAGGAAGGTTACAGGATATATGATTAAAATACAAACATCGATTGCCTTTCTGTGTACCGGCAACTAACACAAGACACCTTATGAAAGAAAGTTATTATCTTTTTTTTTTAAAGATTTATTTATTTATGCATACAAGAGTTGGGGTACAGGCCAGAGATGCAGGGGGTGAGAGGATTCACCAGAGACAGAGTGGGTAGCAGAACAGGCAGACTGACTGAAACACACTGCGGAGGGGAGCAGCAGGTGAGACGGGACAGGTCTGCTGCACCATGTAGGTTGCTTCCTGGCTGGCCAGGGATTGAACTCGTGTTGCAGAGGCTGCAGATTGCTTCACAGTGCGGTTCTTAACCCCTTGAGCCACCAGGGAGGCCCCAAGTTATTCTTTTATAAAGACACCTGTTTTATAACTGACCTAGTAGAGTATATAGTTGCTTTGTAGCTTTTATTGTTAAAAGGAATGAAAAGTATGAATCCAATAAACTAGCTTCAAGGACTAACTTTTTCGATATCTTACTGATAAAGGCATCGAGAACAGAGAGCACTTGATTCAGAGCTTTGGTCAGCCGATGAAAAGTTGAAGGAGTGGACCCGCCGGGGCACTTACCTCCACCATATATGACGGCAAACATGATGGAGGATATCCACGACACTTCACTGGTGCTGGCGTTAAATATTTCTTCAATTTCTTTGTAAAATATAGAAACAGATTTGCCAAACGCACAAGAGAAGCCAATGGAAATGAAAGCTCCAACCAGCACTGCCCACCCCCAGCCTCCATCTGGGGGGGTGTATCCAACTGGACCTCCAACTGCCATTGTAAGGAAAGATGAATTCCAAAATACAGCTCAATCCCAATATCTAAAGGATATGAAATTAAAATAGTACATAACAAGTAGGTCAACAACAAAACACGTCCATCAACTTGCTTACATTTACATTTCAGATACCTAAAATGTTTTTCAATGTTATTAGTTCTCCTTTAAATACAGTAGAAAAACTCTAACAGCCATAGCAGAGAGGCCTAGGAATATGTCAGAGCTTATCAAAGCCCCCTGAAGACACTTCATTTTCACCTAGTTTTTCCTTATAGATATTTGATCAGCCTTTGTGTTTGCACCAATTGTTTTCCAACATGGGTAGCTGAGATGTTAAATAATTGCCCAGAACTGTTTTTTCACAAATATCTTAGGGGAAAGGCTGTTTGGACTGACAAAACTCTGAATCAGGTCAAAGACAAGCCTATGGGTTGGGGTTTCCAGGAACTGCGAGTCATGTTAAAGAATGTTAAAGTCGGGCCTCCCGGGTGGCGCAGCAGTTGAGCGCTGGGTTGCGAAGCTGCCCGCAGCCTCTACAGCGCCGGTTCGATCCCCGGCTGCTCCCCAGCCACAGGAGGAGGGTCCCACATGGCACGCAGACCTCTCCTGCCGCCCGCTGCTCCCCTCAGCAGTGTACTTCGGTCCTTCTGCCTGCTCTGCTCCCCGCTCTGGCTCTGGTGAATTCTCTCACCCTCCCACGCTTCTGACTGTGCCCAGTGCTTGTATAAATAAATCAATAAATTTAAAAAAATGTTAAAGTCTCAGGGTATGAGACTCTTCGGCAGGCTATAAATCCAGTCTGCCCCACCAGTGGCTACTATGGTGCTGGTTTTCAGGGCAGTTATGATTGCAAGGACATTTGTTTGCAATGCTACCACAGAGTTGGGGAAAGAAGGATGGGAAGAAGTCATGTTAAAACATAAATCTTGCTATTCTTCCTGAGATTCAGATTTTTTTTTAAGATTTATTTATGCATACAAGAGCTGGGGTACAGGCCAGAGATGCAGGGGGTGAGAGGATTCACCAGAGACAGAGTGGGGGACAGAACAGGCAGACTGACTGAAATACACTGCTGAGGGGAGCAGCGGGGAGACAGGAGAGGTCTGCTGCACCATGTGGGTTGCTCCCTGGCTGGCCGGGGATTGAACTGGCGCAGCAGAGGCCGCCGATTGCTTCATAGTGGGGTGCTTAACCCCTTGTGCCACCAGGGAGGCCCCAGATTCAGATGTTTTGTTGACTACATTCTTTTTGGATTATTGCAAGCCTCAGATAAAGTTTGAGTTCTAAAATGTTGACTTTAATAATTTTTGCTAATGTTTTTCTAATTGCTTTTATAAAGGAGCAAATTCTCAGAGGGACTTATTCTACCATCTTACAATTGGTTTTTGAATATTAATCTTTAGTTTGGCAAATTTACAAGCATTTCAATATTTGTAATAGTTAACTAGTAGATTCTTGCAGGTTTTCTGCATAATCATATTGCAGTTTGTTTTTCTCTTTTTAAATTCTTAAACCTCCCCTTCTGAACACTCCCCCCTCCATTGTGCTGAGTTCATCCTTAGTACAACTGTTGGATAGAAATGGTGATGGTTGGTATAATTGCTTTCTAAGGCTGTCATAAGAAAATACCATAGGGATCTCTATGGTAGTGCAAGGGGGTAAGTCTCAGTACTATGAAGCTATCTCAGCCAAGTTCGATTCCCAGCCAGGGAGGTGACCCACATAGTATAGCAGACCTCTCCTATCCCATCCACTGTTCCTCTCAGCAGCGTATTTCAGTACATCCAACCTGTTCTGCTCCCCACTCTGTCTCTGGTGATTCTTCTCACCCACCCCACACCTCTGGCCTACACGCCAGTTCTTGTATGCATAAATAAATAAATCTTTTAAAAAAATACCATAGACTGACATCTTAAACAACAGAAATTTATTTTCTCAAAGTTTTAGAGGTTAAAAGTTTGAGATCAAGATGTCAGGTTTGGTTTCCTCTGAGGCTCTCTCCTTGCCTTTTAGACAGCTGCTTTCTCACGGTGTGTCTACATGGTCAGCTCTTTCATGTAGATGTCTGGTGTGTCTATTCTAAGAACACTCGTCATATTGGATTAAGGCCCACCCATATATCCTTCTTATTTTAATTAACTCTTTAAATGGGCTATCTCCAAATACTGTCACATTTTAAGGGATGGGGAGTTAGGGTTACAAAATGTGAATTTTGGAATAAAACAATTCTGTCCCAAAGAGTTGGACTTGTGTTTTGTGATTTTAAAGGCAATGCAACATTTCATCGTCAAGAAATGTATTTACTCCAGGGTTTGGTAGATATACTATTGGATTTATGAAGCATTATGGGTGCTGGGCAGTCCTTAAACATGAATCATGTTTGCCCTAAGTGAACATTCTGCGGACTCAGAACTCATCTGCTCTACCGACTTCCTTATTATTGGATGACTCAAATCACAAGCCAAACCAGAACCTGGAAGTCACCTTCCTTTCATTGGCCCTCATACACCATATCTGACCTACTAGATAGTTCCTGGACTTGTTCTCCCTTCATGTTCACAGTCACTACACCTAACCTCAGGTCACCACCTCCCATGGGTCAATATTATAGCATCCTTAATTAGTTTCCTTTCTTTTCACCTTTCTGTCTTCCCTTTGCAGCCCAAGTGATTTTCTAAAAGTAAAGCTGGTCATTTTGTTCCCTTTCTTAAAACTCTTAAAACAGATATACCACCTTAAGAATAACCTCTTAACAGGGCTTCCCTGGTGGCGCAGCGGTTGAGCGCTGGGTTGTGAAGCTGCTGGCAGCCTCTGCAGCGCCGGTTCAATCCCCGGCTGCTCCCCGGCCACCAGAGGAGGGTCCCACATGGCGCGCAGACCTCTCCTGCCGCCCGCTGCTCCCCTCAGCAGTGTATTTCGTCGGTCTGCATGTTCTGTTCCCCGCTCTGGCTCTGGTGAATCCTCTCACCCTCCTGCACTTCTGACTGTACCCAGTGCATGTATAAACAAAACAAACAAACAAACAAATAAAAAAAAAAAACCTCTTAACAAAGTATTCAAAAACCTATTTCTTTTTTTTAAAAAAAAGATTTATTTATTTATTTATACATACAAGAACTGGGGTACAGGTTAGAGGCGTGGGGGTGTGTGGGAGGATCCACCAGAGACAGAGTAGGGGAACAGAACAGGCAGATTGACTGAAATACACTGCTGAGGGGAGCAGCGGGCGAGTCAGGAGAGGTCTGCAGCGCCATGTGGGTAGCTCCCTGGCCAGGCATCGAACTTGTGCTGCAGTGGCTGCAGATTGCTTCATAGGTTGTGTCTTAATCCCTTGCTCCACCAGGGAGGCCCTCAAAAACTATTTGATTCTCAACTTTGTGTGCCTCTCCAACTTCCTCTCTCCCTGCCTTTCATCTGCACTATGCTCTGGTCTTAATGGAGCCCTTGAAGCTGTGCTCTCCCATCTTCTGCCTCTGCATATTTCTGTTCCCTGTGCCTAGTCCTAGCTCTCCCACTGCTGACTGCTAGTCCTGACTGCTTTCAGGTCTCAATTTTCCTAAATCATCAGTATTAGACTTGGCATTTCTGCTGTGTGTACCCACAGCACCCTATCCTTACCTCTGTGGTAACACCTGCCAGTATAATTTGTTTGCCAGTCTCTCTCACTGTGCATGCCCTTGTGAGCAGACACTGTATCTGCTGTTCAATGATACACCTCATTATCTAGAGTAGGAAGGTTCTGACAGATAGTAAGTATATTTGTAAAATTAATTGATGCCCCATTTTGCCAATGAAGAGGTATCTAAGGTTGTTAATGACAGAGTCCTTAACCAAAGCTAAGTGAGGCTGATTCTAAAACTATGTACTTTAATGTACTTTTTAAGAGGAATAAAATGTATAGACTGCTGGGTTGTCAAGTTATTCTAATTGTAATACTACATAGTACATATTAAAGATAGTGATACTAAACAAAATCACTACAAATGAACATTAATTTACAAGATGTTTTGCTGTAACCAGATTAATGCTGTCATCCAGAGTATGCTTATCCTACAACTGATATGTTACAATCCAGTCTTCTTTAAATCCTGAACAATCCCAAGGGCATAGTTGTTTTTTTTTTTTTCCAAGTGAAACCTGGTCCTATCACTTTCAAAATTTCTCCCTGGGGCTGTGCATTCTGAATTTTATTTGGATTGTTTCCCCAGATTTTATACCCTAGGGGCAGTGCACCACACTAAAATCTGGGATGAGTGAGGTAGCCTTTCATTTTGAAAAGAAAGAGGGAGGATTTGTGTGAAATAAGTTGCTAAGTACTGAGGTATCCATTCCCATCTTCAGGAGAGATCACTTTAAATCTAGGATCCGTATCAAACTGAGATCTGCAAAACAGTTCCATGAAACTACACCACCATTTGAAAGGGAAGGTGACTTGCCCCAAGACATTTCACCTACCAGTAGAATAACAAAAATATTTTCAACTTAAAGTTTTCTAAGATTTCCACCAGAATTATAGAAGCTGTAACATCTCAGTTCAAAGGAAACGATCTGGGTTCTAAGAGATTACATGAAATTGCAATGCTACAGAGCATGAATTTTACAAGTTTATCTCTGAATTAAGTGTCAAAAGACAAAGTTAATTCATCACAGACTATTTATGCTTAAATCTACATGCCTACTCAATTACATCAGAGCTGTACTTGAAGATTCACTTGGAACAGTTAACACGTACTGCATGTGATTAAACTCTGGGCTTAGTTGCCAGTTATGATTTCTCATAATTCCTCATTTTTTTTTTATCACCCAGCTGTTGCCTCACAGCCTCAGTAACATTGTCTTGTATTAAAACCTTTATTCTATAGTGTCAAAATTATATTGAAAACTGCAAGATTTAGAAAGAAAAGGGGATTAAAATATAACATCCAAAACAAAAATCCAAAACCTAGGCATTGACTCAAGATAGTTCCGGTAAATTAACAAATTCCTTTCCTCATTATTTGAAATTTCTTATTTTGGAATACTTTCTATATAGAGATCCACTTTTTTCCCCTTCACATTTTAAAAAAGACAGAAGAGGGCCTCCCTGGTGGCGCAGCGGTTGAGCACTGGGTTGCGAAGCTGCCCGCAGCCTCCGCGGCGCTGGTTCGATCCCCGGCTGCTCCCCGGCCACCGGAGGAGGATCCCACATGGCGCGCAGACCTCCTCTGCCGCCCGCTGCTCCCCTCAGCAGTGTACTTCGGTCCTTCTGCCTGCTCTGCTCCCTGCTCTGCCTCTGGTGAATTCTCTCACCCTCCCGCGCTTCTGACTGTACCCAGTGCATGTATAAACAAAACAAACAAACAAACAAACAAATAAATAAATAAATAACATGCCTCTATTAAAAAAAAAAAAATAAAAAATAAAAAAGACAGAAGAGTCAGAAGTGATAGTGAAAAAAAGAATAGAGACTATCCTTTAAATTCCTTTAAGTGTAAAAGAGTTTTGCTTGGTAGAATTTTCGATTATAATCTAGAATATAACCCATACATTTTCCGCATCAATCCAAAGTAGACTCTCCAAATCAAAACCTAAGTGGACTATTTTATTTGTCTCTGACTGGCTCTGTCCCAGAGTTTGAAGCAGAAATGTACAGGCTCCTTTGAAATAACAAACAAGTATGAATGTTCTGTTGGGATATCATTTATATTGGGTGATAGTCATTCACACTGTCCTTTTGAGCAGAAGTTACGGTATCCCCGTGCTGACATCTACTTCAAACAGTTTGAGGCCAAGATGGGAGAATGAGTCACAAAAAAGAAGCCAGCAGAATGTTCTTTTTTTCTTTGGGGGGAAAAAAGATATGAATTGAACTACTCACAGAAATGTTTAACACTTTAACTAGCTTCACAGTTTTATAGTTTTTTTTTAAGACTTTTTTTTAAATGTTTATTTTATTTTTTTTTTATAGAGGCATGTTTATTTATTTATTTGTTTGTTTGTTTATACATGCACTGGGTACAGTCAGAAGCGCGGGAGGGTGAGAGAATTCACCAGAGCCAGAGCCGGGAGCAGAGCAGGCAGAAGGACCGAAGTACACTGCTGAGGGGAGCAGCGGGCGGCAGGAGAGGTCTGCGCGCCATGTGGGACCCTCCTCTGGTGGCCGGGGAGCAGCCGGGGATCGAGGAGCAGCCGGGGATCGAGCCGGCGCCGCAGAGGCCACGGGCAGCTTCGCAACCCAGCGCTCAACTGCTGCGCCACCGGGGAGGCCCCACAGTTTTATAGTTTTAAGTAAAAGTATCTCATAGGTTTTGATAACTAAAATTCGACTTCCAAGTTTTATTTTCATTCCAAACTTGACATCCTTACATTTGTCCCCTTGTAGTTCTTTCTTGTATAATTATCGTTTAATATTCCAGGAATGAATCTAAACATCATTACTGCTACATCTGAGCTCATGACTTCACAGGAATAAAATTTTGGTTTTGTAGAGTACCTGATAACCCACAAGACTAATAAATTGAGCATTCTTTGTCAGGCATAAGCATTACTTACAGTAAGCAGAGATAAATGGTCATTTGCAATGTCGTTTGAGAAGGCATTTATGGATGCTAAGTATCAAAAAGGAAATTTTGCTACCCCAAGACACACTTATAGGTTAAATCTAAACATTTTTAAGTGGTGACAATGCAAGTCTTTGAATATACAATCACTACAATAAAACTCACTTTCTTTATAATACACTTCCAGTGTATTCCAATCTGTGTCACTTTCTTAAAAAGCACGTGTGCATCTGCTGCCCTTCCCAGCTGTTTTCTGTGACAAAACACAAATGTCACCATGGCCAATGACCACTGACGTGGTCAGCAAATCCGTTTCTAAATTGCTGAGCCATCACCTGCAATAGGAGGGTCAACGACCCCTTAGGGGTTACCGCAGTTGAACTGCGTGACAAAGTCCTGCATCTTAGAAGGTTCCTGAGGACTAGGCTCGGGGCTAATTGAAGTGAAGTAACCTGGACCCCCAGAAACCAGGACCCCTCCGACCCCGGAGTAACCCCCAAAGTTGCTCAAGACGCCCCCATTCCACTCGACTGCGCTGCGGGGACAGGAGAGACAGCCCCTTAACAAAACTTAAACTCTGCTAAGGGGAGAGACAATAAACCAAAACAATGCAACTAGCTACGGGGCACCTGACACCCCAAATACTATGGACAACAGGGTCGGCTGAGATTTGGGGAACAAAAAAAGGGACTTTCTACGGGTGGAGCCAAGTCGTGCAGGATCTAGAAAGGGCGACGACTCAATTTGCGAGGGTGAATGCCAGGGGCAGGAAGGGGGTCTGCAGAGCAGGATCCTGATCATGGGGTGCACGCCAGGAACCCCCCACGCCAGGAGAACTCTCCTCCTACACCACGACCCGCGGAGGCGCGGCCCGGGGCGCCTTGAGGCTCGAAGCGAATCGACCCCCTCGACTCCGGGGCGCGCGCCCTCGGCGTCCAGATCAAAGCACCCCCGCCGGGCACCTGCCCGCCGCCCTCCGCCCGCCTGCCCGGCCCCGCGCGCCCGACCCGCACCCCGCCGCCCACTGACCGTTCGCGCCGGGCGAGAGCGGGGCGCGGGGCTCCCGTCGGCACCTCGCGCCGCTCCCGCGGGGAAGCTGCCGGACCCGGCCCGACGGCTGGGAGCGCGGCCTGGACCGAGGCTCGCCAGGCCTGAGCCTGCGCGCGGCGAGGCACCGCCCCCCGCCCCCCGCCCCCGGCCCCGGCCGCCCGGGCCCGCCCCCCGCCCCTGGTCCCCCCGCCCCCGCCGCCGGGCCCCGCCGCTCCGCCCGCCGCCACCGCCCCGGGCCCCGCCGCCCCGCGCCGCCCGGCCCTCAGGTGTTTCCCGCCAAGCCTGAGGCGACCCGCGCGCGCCCGGACGCCCCGAGGCAGCCGTCGGACCAAAGGTAATTCCAGCGGGTGTTTTGGGGGGCGCCTCCCCTGCGCGCGCCGGAACTGTGGGGGGGGGTGCTGTGGACATTTTCCTGAGAAAGGCCCCCAAGTCCCGTCGCCCCGGGGCCTGGTGTTGGCAGAGCCAGGGAGGGTCTCACACCGGGGCGCGCGCTGAGGGGATGATGTCGGCTTTTAAGAAATGCTAAGAACGTCTTCAGTCAAGGCCCTGCCTTTGAAGAGCGGGCGGGTTCTGGGGTGTGAAGTTAGTTGAGGGAGAAAAATCAGTGTTTATGAAGCATGATAGAGCCTGGCCTGTAGCAAGCGGTGTTTGTTAAAGAAATAAGTAAATAGAAAAGGAAATTAAAACAATTCTGTTTACCATAGCATTAAAAATGCCTAGGGAGGGCTTTCCTGATGGCGCAAGGGTAAGCACCGCACGATGAAGCAATTCGCAGCCTCTGCAGCACGAGTTCGAACCCCGGCTGGCCAGGGAGCTACCCACATGGCGCAGCAGACCCCTCCTGTCTCTGCACTGCTCCCCTCAGCAGTGTATTTCAGTCAGTCTGCCTGTTCTGTCCCTCACTCTGTCTCTGGTGGATCCTTTCACCCCCCTGCATCTCTGGCCTGTACCCCAGCTCTTAAAAACACACACACACACACACACACACACACACACACAAAACAGTCTAGGGAGAGCTTAAGGACTTTATGCAGTCTAAAATTAACAGCGCCTACAAAACTACCCCTACTTCGGACACGAGTTGCAAGTTTGGGGAGTCCCAGGGCCATGTCACTTGAGATCATTTGGCCACAAATTTGGGGTTTCCACAAACCCTCAGGCTCCATACTTTCCCAGAAAAAATTCAGAACTCACTGCAAGCCTTTGTACTCAGCATCGTGTTTATTCCAGGGAAAGGAGACATTGAAATTCATCAAGAGAAGAGCAACATCAGGCAGAATCTGGGGGGGTCCAGATTGAAGAGCAGCACAGCCCAGATGATGTTACCTCCTCCCAGGTAGGATATGTGGCAATGCTCACACAAAGTATTGCCAGCCAGAAAAGGCAGCAAATCTCCAGTTCCAATTTCCCTCCCCACCCCCAGGATTGAGCTGTTATTTGTTGCAAAACTCCAACTCTCCAATCACATGTTTGGTCATTTTGTTATTAAGTGAAATTAGAAAGTCACAAAAGGTAAAAAATTGTATGATTCTGTTTTATGAACTAGCCTGAGTAGGTAAATCCATAAGAAACAGTAGATTAGTAGTTGCCAGGGGGTGAAGGAAAGGGAGTAATGGGTATGAAGTTATCTTTGGGGGAAATGAAAAGGATTTGGAACTTGATAGGGAGAGGGTTCATATCACTGTGAAGCAAACCAAGCCATGTTTGCTTCAAAAATGGTTAACTTTATATCATATGAACTTGCCTCCATAAATAAACCAAATAAATATGGACTAACAGATACCCCATGAATATAATGAAGTTTATGTGTAAATAGGATCACATCTGATTTTATAATTGGAACTTTGTATTTTTAAAGAGGACTCCTCGTGTGGTAGTCAGAATAAGTTCCTCATCTTTGCACAAGATGTCATGTCCTAACCCGTGGAAACTCTGAATGTGTTCTGTGACATGACAAAGGGAAATTAAGGTTTCAGATGGGATTAAGTTTGCCAGTCTGCTGATCTTAAAATAGAGAGATTATTTTGGATTGTCTGGACACACTGTATGTACTTTAAGAGTCCTTAAAAGTGAAAGAGGGAGGCAGAAGGTCGGGGTGATGCAGTGTGAGGAGGACTTGCTCTGCTGGTTTTGAGGGAGGTAGGAGGACACCAGCCCAGCAGTACAGGTGGACACTGGAAGCTGGGAAAGTCAAGGAAACAGATTCTCCTTTCAACACCCCAATTTTCAATTTTCATGGGGGACTTCTGACCTCTAAGAGGATAAAGCAACACAATTAGGTTGCTTAAGCCACTAAGTTTCTGGCAATTTGTAGTCATGATGAAAAACTAATATAGCCAGGGTAAATGTGTATGTTTCAGGTCCCACAAAGCCTGTATTTTCCCATTGGTAGGGAATTTATTGTTATGAAGAGTACAAGCTTTGTAGTTGGAAGATCTGGGGCTGTGCTTTGCTCGCCATGTGAGTCATTAACTAAGTAATTAAACTCTTCCAAGCCTTATTTCTTCACCAAGTGCATTGGAGATAATACCTTCAGACCTGCTGTTGTGAGAATCAAAAGAAAAAATGGTTAGTAAAAGTTGGAAAATACAGCAAGAGTGTTTATGTGTTATTATTCTAAGTTGTCAGTAAAAGGTGCTTAAGAGGGTGAAGGTCGAAGTGCCTCTCACCTCCTTAACTGGAAACAGAAATAGTGAAAGTGAGGGAGGCACTAGTTTGAGTGATCTGGATAAAATGATAAAGTTGACACAATTCTTACTATTTTTCCAGATGTCATCCTGGTTTTAAGTCAGTAAAAGCTAGGAAGTTTAGAGTTGACCAGAGCTTGGAAATCAAGTAGCCAAACCCCCATATTTTGCACAGGTGGACATTGAAACCTAGAGAATTTGAAAAACTCCTAAGGCCATCAGCAAATGAATGGTTTGACCAATGAATAGACAGTTCTCTGGGCTTCACTGTACGAGAAAGATACCCTTTAAGATCAAAAAATGTTCCGCGCAGACATCTTTACTGCAAACTAGAGAGGATGTAGTGCCATCTAGTGGTTTCTCATTTTATCTTACAAATCCCTGTTGCAGCCCATTTCTGTTTTAAATAAAGGTTGAGAACAATTAGAGACGGTGCAGGTAGGCTGCTTCAGAGAAATACTTTACAGCCACTTGCAATCTCAGGAAGATTTCAAGCAACTTCCAACTTAAGAAATGAAGGACAGGAATGAGAAACACCATTAAAGCCTGAAGGGGTTTTGTAAAAGCAAAATTGGAAATTTACTTATGCTAAATACATTGCTCAAGTATTTTATCTGGAAAATAAGAAAAATGAATTTCTGTTGTGTTTTCACTGACTCACTCAGCCGCCTCACTTTCATTCCCTCATTTAATTTTTCTCTTGGGTGACAAATAACAAATCTTAACCTTATCTTACCAGTAATAAACCTTTTTGTTTTATTGATATAGTCCTCATGACCTAAAATTCAGCATTTTAAAGAGAACGCATAACATGCTTTTTTAGTATATTTACCATCACCACTATCTAGTTGCAGAACATTTACATATCTCCTCAAAGAAGCCCTATATGTTTAGCAGTTAGTCTAATTTCCCCCATCCGTCCATTCCCTGACAATCATTAGTGTGCTTTCTCTCTCTATGGCTTTGCCTTTTTTGGATAAATCATATAAATGGAATCATATAATATGTGACCTGTTGTATCTGGCTTTTTTTACTTAACATTTTTAAGGTTCATCCGCTTTACAGCAGATATCAATACTTCATTCCTTTTCATGATTGAATAATATTCCATTACTTGCATTTTAAAAAAAGATTTATTTTTATTTATGCATACAAGAACTGGGGTGTAGGCCAGAGGTATGGTGGGTGAGAGGTTTCACCAGAAACAGGGTGGGGAGCAGAACAGGTACTGCTGAGGGGATCAGTGTGCGAGACAGGAGGGGCCTGCTGGGTCATGTGGGTCAGCTCCCTGCCCAGGGATCGAACCCATGCTGAAGTGGTTGGCAATGGCTTGATAGCACTTAGACTTTAACCCCTGTGCCACCAGGGAGGCTCTGTTTGGATATATATTACATTTTATTTGTTCATTATCTGATGGACATTTGAGTTTTTTCCACTTTGGAGCTGTTGGGATAATGCCTCTGTTAACGTTTGTGAACAGCTTTTGTCTGAATACATGTCTTCATGTCTCTTTTAAGTTTAAATAAGAAGTAGAATTGCTGGGTTGTATGGTAACATTGAACTATTTTTGTAACTGCCAGACTTCCCACAGCAGCTGCATTGTCATTTTATAATCCTACCAGTAATGTGTACAGGTTCTACTTTTTCTATATCCCTAATATTCCATTATTATTTATTATAGTCATCCTTATGGGGGTAAAGGAATAACTCATATGGCTTGTTTTTAATTTTGGAATAGCTCTTTCCCTCCTTTTTTATTTTTATTTTTAGTTGTGGTAAAATACACAAGACGTAAAATTTACCTTCTTAACTTTTAAAGCTCATTAGTGTTAAGTAACACATTATTGTGCAACCAATTTACAAACCTCCACCTTGCAAAACTGAAACACTCTACCCATTTCACAACTCTGCTTCCTTCCTTCCCCTGCCCCCTGGCAGCTACCACTTTGCATTCTGTATCTAAGTGCTTGATGACGCTAGGTATCTCATACGAATGAAATTAATTTATATTTTTCTTTTGGTGACTGGCTGATTTCACTCAGCATAATGTCCCCCAAAGTGCATTCACATTGTAGCATGTGTCAGAATTTTCTTCTTTTGTCAGGCTGAATAATATTTCCATTGTATGTATACAGTACATTTTATTTATTTATTCACCTGCTAGTGGACCTTGGGCTTGCTTCTACCATTTGGCTTTGTAAATAACATTGCTTTGACTCTGTGTGTATAGTGCTTTCAAGTCATTTGCTGTATGGCCAGAAATGGAGTCTCTGGATCACATGTAAATCTACTTTGAATTTTTTGAGCAATTACCTTACTACTTTCTATAATGACTGCACCATTTTATACTCCCACTAACAGTACTAGAGGGTTCCAGTTTCTCTTGTTTTCTGTTTTTGTTTTTTTTTTAATCATAAATAACCATCCTAATTGGTGTGAGCTGGTAGCTCAGTGTGGTTTTGATTTACTTTTTTTTTAATATTGTAATTTGTTTTTCAAAGATTTATTTATCCATACAAGAATTGAGGTACAGGCCAGAGGTATGGGGTGAGGGGGGAGGTTGAGAGGATTGTACCATGTGGGTAACTCCGTTTCACAGTGCTGTGCTTAACCCCTTGCGCCACCAGAGAGGCCCTTGATTTACATTTATCTAGTAACTAATGACGTTGAACATCTTTTATGTGTTTGCTGCCTGTTTGGGTATTTGGAGAAATATATTTCAAATCTTTTTTGTTTTTATTGTTAAGTATATGCATTCTTTTTTTTTTTTTTTAAAGATTTATTTATTTATAGAAGCACTGGGTACAGTCAGAAGCGCGGGAGGGTGAGAGAATTCACCAGAGCCAGAGCGGGGAGCAGAGCAAGCAGAAGGACCGAGGTGCACTGCTGAGGGGAGCAGCGGGCGGCAGGAGAGGTCTGCGCGCTATGCGGGACCCTCCTCCAGTGACCGGGGAGCAGCTGGGGATCAAACCGGCACTGCAGAGGCTACGGGCAGCTTCGCAACCCAGTGCTCAACCGCTGCACCACCGGGGAGGCCCAAGTATATACATTCTTTATGTATTCTGGATACAAGACCCTTGTCAGATAATATGGTTTGCAAATGGATTCATTTTATTTTATTTTTTATTTTTATTTTTTTTAAGATTTATTTATTTATGCATACAAGAGCTGGGGTATAGGCCAGAGATGCAGAGAGTGAGAAGACTCACCAGAGGCAGAATGGGAAACAGAACAGGCAGATTGACTGAAATACACTGCTGAGGGGAGCAGCAGGCGAGACAGGAGAGGTCTGCCTCATCATGTGGATTGCTCCCTGGTTGTCCGGGGATCGAACTCATGCTGCAGAGCCTGCGGATAGCTTCATAGTGCTGTGCTTAACCCTTTCGCCACCAGGGAGGTCCCTCAAAAATTAATTTTTGTGAAATACTCGGAGAAGTTGAAGGGGTGGTCAGTATTCACTTAATTTCCTCCCACAGACATCCAATTGTTCCATCACAGCTTATTTTAAAACTTTTTCTTCCTTGGGCCTCCCTGGTGGCGCAGTGGGTTGAGCGCAGTGCTGTGAAGGTGTCCGCAGCCTCTGCAGCGCGGGTTCGATTTCCGGCCAGCCAGGGAGATCCCCACATGGCGCAGCAGACCTCTCCTGTCT